TGCAGCCTCAAACTTCTGGCCTCAAGCAACCTCCCTGCCTCAGCCTCCCAAAGTGCTAGGATTACAGGCATGAGCCACTGCGCCTGGCCACAACTCACTCTTAACTATAGTGTTCTACGCTTTCCAATTTCACCATGAGCTTCCTTGAAAGACAGAAACAAGAGGATCCAGGCACCTACATTCTCTCTCCTCTGTCTTCATCAGACTAACTGACTCCAAGAGAAGGCCCAACACTTCCAAACTATTAATATAAAAGCTTTTTTGTTTCCCTCTTTAATTTTCAGATGCTTCAGTCATCTGAGAATGATCCCTCCTCTGTTGTTTCTTTCTTCTTACCCTACCCTGCTCCATTCCATCTACTTTTAGAGCAGAATCCTATTTATTTGTAGATAAGGAAGAAAAGCAGCTATAATTCCTTTTCTCCATGCCTCAGTTCAACAGTAGGATGTACTCACAGAAATTTAGCCTTTCTGGCAATATTCCTACAAATCTGTTCAATTCCTTTATATTCAACCTAACTGAAAAAAAAGTAGATGGATATTTTGTAAGCTTTTTCACCCACTCCCAAGGCAGAAGATGAACTGCATGCACAAAAGTCAACATGACCTCTTCAGGAAGAAAAATGTGCTAGGGATCACAGCAGGCCAATGAAATTTCCTTCCTTTTCTATACCTTCTAGTCTAAAAGGATTCATGCTAAGGTTCTCAAGAAGTTCTGAGTCCTTTGTGGCTTTTCCTCATAATTGTTCTCTGAGCTTTCTGCAGACTCCTTAGTTGAGATTTTTAGAGTCCACCTACCTTCTTCTCAGACAGCCTTCCTTATCCTGAGCTAAACTGCCCACAGAGAGGCGTCACTGACGAACATTTAGCCCACGCCCAACATCTGCTCAGGCAGGACATAGGCTTGAGAATATTCAACTCCCAGAAGCAACATACAGGAAGACCAGCATCCAGGAATCCTTTTAAAAGGACACCTGTCAGCATAAGCAATCCCTGGTACTACTTTTGTGTGACAGGATACAGTGAAAGAGTACTGGTCATGTGGACAAAAATACGTCAGGGCAGAGAGTCGCCATGCAGGGAGCCAGCCCGCGTGGCCATCTGCTCCAGAGCACAGCTTCCAAATTTTCACACCTTCTTTCCTTTCTTTACTGAAGGACCTGGAACTTCTCTTAAAGTTTAAAATATTTACATAATGACTCACTTAATAGGGGGGCAAGCAAGATAGCAATGGTAGGAAAAGAAGAATAAGATATGTGCAACTCTGTATGGATCTTTATCAACTAAATAATGAAAAGAGTAATCATAATTATTCCTTCCTTATTTGGGGTGAGGGATGGAGGGGGCATGCTATGGTCTGAATGTTTATGTTCCCGCCCAAAGTTCATGTGTTAAAATATAATCTCCAAAGTGATGGAATTAGGAGGTGGGGCCTTTGGGAGGTGATTAGGTCTAGGTCGAGAGGGCTCTGCTCTCATGAATGGGATTACAGCCCACATGAAAAGGCCCCAGAGAGCTGTCTCGTCTCTTCCACCATGTAAGGACACAGTGAGAAGTCCCCACCTGTGAACCAGGGAATAGGCCCTCAGCAGACACCGAATATGCTGGTGCCTTGATCTTGGACTTCCAAGTCTCCAGAACTATGAGGAATTAATTTCTGTTGTTTATAAGCCACCGAGTTTATGGTATTTTGTAACAGCAGCCCAAACTGACTAAGACAGGGCACATGGCCGGGCGTGGTA